TTCGTCACAGCTCTGCCAGTTAACACAGACCCAGCTAGCCTAACATCCAAAAATCAGGCATGTCATCAATGCTGAAAATATAGTCTGTAATACCATGCTCAGACCAAATGGCATTAAGGGAGTTAATATAAGCACAATATACATTTTACCCATAATGATATTAGTATTATATAGAAGCTGAGCACTTGAGTTTTCCCATCAAAACCCTAGATCCAGTTCCTAGTTTTACACCTTAGGAAAGTCAGGGACTCAGCAGAAAACATATTTTACACTCAAAACAAGTAACTGAAGAGAATTTAATGAAAGGACTGTTTCCAGAGATATAGCTGGGTGTCTGAGTTTCCTAGGGCTGCCACAATGAAGTACCGTAAACTGAATGCCTGAAAACAGCAGAAATCTATTATCCTACAGTTTTGGAGACTTGAAGTCTGAAATCAAGGTGTCAGCAGGGCTACACTCCCAATGAAACCTGGGGAATTCTTTTTTGCCTCTTCCTAGCTTCTGGTGGTGGCCGGCAATCGTTGGTGTTGTTTGGCTTGTAGCTGTGTAAATCTAACCTCTGCCTTCATTCTCCCTGTGTCTCTCTTCACATGGCCATCTTCTTATAAGCACACCAGTCAGATTAGGGACTGCCCTATTCATTATCTTGACTAATTACATCTGCAATAACCCTACTTCTAAATAAGATCATATTCAGAGGTATTGGGGGTTAGAATTGCAACATATCTTTTTGGGAGGGACACAGTTCAACCCACAACAGAAACATTCAAGGAAACTAGCAAGGGTCCGTGAAGCACCTGGGTCCCATCTCTTGCCTGAAGGTGCAAAGGACAGATGGTCACTGAAACTCTCCGAATCCAGTGGCTGTAGAAAAGGACTGCCTGACAGGGACTGTAGCCTTGGGGAGAGAATCACAGCCACTGGCAATGGACAGCCAGGCAGGGAGGGATCTAGGGAATAAACGCTCTGACCTCTCTCTCCTCCCAACCTCTGATCTCCAGGATCTCCTGCTGTTAACTCCCAGTGATTGAGTCCAACAGGAAACCCAAGGGCTGGAGCCCATTGATGCAGGCTCTAAAGATTAGCCTCCTTGAGCAGGGTGAAGAGGGGGGAGACTGGATATCGAGGGGCAAACGGAGAATAATTAACATAGGCCTTGGTTTACCTGTCTGTAAGTTAGGGATAATCCTAGCATCCACTTCATAGGGTTGTTAGCTTAGTGCCCAGCACATAATAATCACAAATGTTAGCTACTGTTTCATTGGTAAGTTCTGGTCATATTGAAATGAACTAGCTTCCATACTACCACCTTATGAACTGGTAAATGTGAGAAGGATAGGTGTCATGTGTGTGAGTGACACAAATGTGCACACGGCTTTTCCCCAGCAGTGTTCCCTGATTTTTTTTTTTTGAGTCATAAACCCAAATGAATGTTCTTCAACACCTGAGACCAATACTGGCCAGACAGCAGCGTGGATAAAGCCTGGGGTAATTTCTGGAATGGAAGCAGGACCCATCCAGTGCCCAATGTGCATTGTTTTGGGGGGTGATATGACTGGTGCCTTCAGGAGCTCACAGTCAAGAATGACGCAGATATCTCGCTGTAAGTAGAAACCAGTGAGGGTTTAAGACAGATAAGAAGACTGGTAGTTTTACAGTAGGACAACTGAGAGGATTTTGTGGAAAAAGGTGGTATTTGGGCTTGACCTTGTAAAAGTAGGATTTGGGTACATGGAGATAGGGGGTCAGGGGAAGCAACAGCTAAGCAAAGTGAAAGGGGTGGGACTGTACAAAGAATGCATGGGACGTGAATAGAGCTGGTGGCATAAATGAGAGTGAAGAATGAAAAGTACAAGAAAACAAGGAGGATTATAGGAGAAGTGGGACTAAAAACAATAATAGTGGTGAAGGATCTAGAAGGCCTGGCTGAGTTTCCACTGAAAGCACAGCACTCAATACATGACAGATATTACGACTCTCTGGGTCATAGTGGTACATCAGTCATGTTCCGAATATAAACTGACTCTTCCTCATCAGGATGGCCCTGTTTAAATATATGTACTTGTTTCAAGGTCCTTCTGAGATTGAGTTAAGACTATAGCCTGGTGTTGAAGGAGGCAACTCTTAGAAGCCAGAGGTGGCTTCAGCCTCTACAAAGGGAGGAAACCCAGAGCCACCAACTAACAAACTGTCAACACACGGAAGTCAGGTACCTATGAGTTTCATGGGGGCCAGAGGGAGAGTGACCCCGATGGAGGGAAGCCCGGGAAACAGAGGCCTTCACAGGTTGGTGTGGGGGAGATTATTGAAGAGATGGGAAGGGATGGATGGCGGACACCAGGGAAAGGATTCAGCTCTTGCTGGTGGGTGAGAGGTCCCAATGGACTGGACCCAAAGAACGGAGGGAGCAGGTGAAGAAAGAGAAATGGAGGCATTTCCACCACCCTGGTTACAAAGAAGTGGGAGGTGCAGAGAGCACCCCACTGCACATCAGATTTGAAAAGAGTCAAAGGGGCTAGAAAGAAAATGCAGAGAGATAAGAACGAGGAACATAGGAGTGGTGTGAGCCTGGTCTGTGAGCTCTAAAGGTGGGAATAAAATATGGGCATTTTCCAAATAGGAAAAGTAAGAATCTGGGAAAGAGACTAAAGACAAGTCAACACATGAGGAGGGGCAGTTGGAAAAGGATTTCAGAGAAGGTATTTGGAATCAAGTAATAATAAGAGAGTTGAATGAAAAAGGAGAGACTTGAGATGGAAAATGAGACCCTAGAATAAGGATTTCTAGCCTGGCCAAAAAACAAGAGAAGATCATTCTAGAGTTCTGAAGGCTAAAATAAATAAGATAGGTTGTGGTAGCCACAAAGAGGGAATGAAATAAGAGCAGTGTAAGTTCAACAGAATTAACCACACACAGCAAGTTTTTAGTATTTCTGTTTTCCTTTTTTTATGTGGACTGTAGCCTTGGCAACCACAAAGACTTTGTATTCTGTTCATTGTGGTACCTTACACAGCAATTTGACTTAAATGGAAGTTCTCTCTCTGGAAGTGATCCCTTCCCCAGTTTCAGAGAGAAGTACAACCCAGTTCACAGCACTGAAGCTGACAGCCTGAGGTCTTGCACAAACAACTCTGAAAAGAGCCCACTTGTCATAATTGCAGACCAAGCTTCCGAAATCCAGCAGGAGAAAGTGATTCAGGCTCCGCAGGTGCAGTTAGAACTTGTGGCTACCGTGATCTTTTTTCACAATCAACTATGGCTCCTTCAGATTTAATGTTAAGCATGTGGTTTTCCAGCCACTGTGCCCCCTTCCCGTGCCCATGAAAGACAATCTCAGCAGCCTCTCTCAGTGAGTCCAGCCCGATATGAACTCAAAATTGGTCTCAGCGCAGCACTCTAGGTCGCCTCCACCTACCAACCATAATTGGCAGGGAATTTGTGACCCATTTGCCACCAGCCTTTAAAGGGTCTTCTCTGTGCTTTCTTAGACGTTTATATGACTGGTATTTGTATCACTGGGGAACTCTATAAATCTGTAGTGAAGAAAATCCTTCACTCACTAATGCAGACATAGCTTATTTATCCAGCCTCATCACGGAACAAGAAATACGAATGAGTGTGTTTTCCAGATAAATGAAACCTGTTTGCTTCTAAGTGCCATTTCTGATAGAAACCTTTCTAAGGAACACTCATTACACACTTCCTTGCTCGAGAAACAGTACATTAGACACAATTTTACCTTTTCATTTTTTGAACATATTTTAAAATATTTTGTGAGCTCCTACAGATGTCTCAGAAAACATCATCCTTTCTTCCTATTAGGTTCTATATATTTAGAATGCCACTGGGTCAGCTCCCAGTGGTCTCGTTGCCTTCCGCTTCTCTGTCTGAGGCTACTTAGGCAGTATGAAAGGTTTTTAGAGACCCCAGGTAACTAAGAATGTTAAATCATTAACCCATTTTCCACACGACTGAAGTCAGTGGATAGGCTTTGTGAGGAATTTCACTCCCTGCAGCAATAGATACTTTTTTACATACTTCTGAACTTGAGGCTGTTAAATTATAGATATGTGAAGCCCTGGAATTTTAATTTCAAGATTAATGGACAACTTGAGCATTACCTGAGAATTACCTTCTTTTGTTTTGTCTACATTACTTGTTTTGTCTAAAACTAATATTCATCACCAGTTGTAACTAAGCTTCAGACCATAAGCAATGAGTATCCATAAGGAAAGTGGCTTTTCTGCACTTGGACCTGAGAAAATGAGGGAACTATCAATATGTGTGTCCATAAGATCCCTTTCATGGTCTCCACAGAGAACACTCATCCTTGCAATGCAATGAGCATGAGCATTCTCAGACCTGCCAGACAGATATTTTTAGAATAATATTTTATGCCATATTTGCAACACTCCCTTTCTTTACTTGAAATGACATTCATGGGAAATAGGTCTCAGGGAGAAGGAAGATGGAAGATAACCTCCAGGTTCCTTACTGGGACAATGAGTCAGCAGAGAAGGGGGGACTTTACCCAAGTAAGAGAAGGGCAGGTGATTGGAAAATGTGGTCCGTCAGGCAGGAGAACAGGCCAGGATTTAGCAACCCTCAGCTTCCTTGGAGCTCAAAGGTGCTGGTGGGCAAGGCAGCCAGGAAAAAACGTCAGGACTACACCAAAGGGCCAGACAAGACAGCAGATAAAATCATTCACAGGGATGTATGCTGCAGAACGCATGAATCTCAGGAACATGTGAAAGACCCAGATATAAAAGGCCACATCCTGTGTGGTTCCATTTATATGAAAGTCTAGAAAGGCAAAAGTCTAATAATTGAAAACAGATCAGCGGTTGCTTGAGAACGGAAGTTGAGAAGGAGTTTGACTGCAAAGGGACATGAAGAAACTTTTCTTTTTTTTTTTAGTTGGGGAACAGTGTGTTTTTCCAGAACCCAGCAGCTCCAAGTCTAGTAGTTGTTTCAATCTAGTTGTGGAAGGTGCAGCTCACTGGCCCATGCCGGGATCGAACCGGCAACCTTGGTGTTATGAGCACTGTGCTCTAACCAATTGAGCTAACTGGCCGCCCCAAGAAACTTTTTAATGATGCGAAAGTTCTGTATCATGAGTGTGGTGGTGAGGGCCGGCCGAGTGGCGCGATGGTTAAGAACTGGCTTGGGACGCCAGAGGGCCCCGGTTCGGGTCCCACATATGAGGGCCGGTGACACTGCCCTCCAAAAAAAAAAAAAAAAAAAGAAAAGGCATGAGTGTGGAGGTGGTTCACGACATTTGCATCTGCCCAAACTCAATAAATTGCACACTTACCATGGATGAATTGTGTTGTATGTAAATTATGCCACAGTAAAGCTATTTTTTAAAATCAGGTATATAGAGGTGGAACCAGTCACAGAACACCTTGACACTGAGGTAGCAGCTCGGACCAGTAGGTGAGACTGGGCACAAAGCAGGAGGGGATGCCAGTTCAGATATAACCTGGCCAGAGCACTGACTGTTAGATTGGAATATTTATTCCACACCATATATCATATACCTACTACATTCTAGTTCCCAGGTATATAATGATGTAGAGGAATCACAAAATTAGAGAGTTGTAATAAAACTCTAAACACCACTCCAGGTTCAACATTCTACTGATATTTGGGTTGTTTTATATTAAGCTTGTCAACATTTGGGAGCAAAGCTTTTGGGATGAAGAATATTTATCAATGTTGATAAGTTATGAGGACACCATTCCGTGCTGGCAGGCATATTCATCCACGATGAGTGCTGGTTTGTGGTTTTGTGCATTCAGCACATTTCTTGAGCACCAGCAATGTATCACGTACTGAAGAAGACATATATGAATGAGTCCCCTCAAAAGGATGATTAGAAACTAGAAGAGAGAGACAATCTTACTACTCTGATCATAATCAAAGATGGGATGTGATCAAGTATCCTAAGTAAACGTCAGCGTGCTACAGTGCTGAGACAGCATGTGAAGGGCTGTTAACAGAGATTTAAATGACTTATCTTGTTTACTCTGGACTCTTTGTTATCTGAGGCTGGGTCCTGAGAGTGAAAAGCCTCTGTCCTCAAGAGAAACAGGCTCACAATTTAGCTGTACGGATCCAAGGATTGGGAAGTGGACTGTGGGCAGCCTGAGGAAGGCTAAGTTTATCATTAGTAGGTTTTGAGGCCCCAAGTTGGAACACCAAAGGTGAACCAAAGCCAGGTGAGCTGCCCCATAGGACCAGCTGCATTTTACCTGTCAGATATTGGGACAGGGCATAAAAGGTGGAAAGAATGGCATAAGCAGAAGTAGAGAAGTGCAGGCCATGTTGCTCACATCATCACGGTGCCTGGTGCATAGTAAGGGCTCAGTAAATATTAGTTAATTGACTTCAGTGGATGAATGAATCATTGAAACTGGTGGGATAAATGACAAAGAGGAAAGACTAAAGTCAAGGACATGTTCTGAGCAGGCATGAGGATCTGCACCAGGGTGACTGTATTAGATTCCTATGAGTGCTCTAACAAATTGCCACAAATTTCGTGACATAAAACAACATATATTTATGATGTTAAAGCTCTGGAAGTCAAAATCAAGGTGTTGGCAGGGCTGCATTCCTTCTGGAGACTTCAGAGTAGACCCCGTTTCTTTGTTTTTTCAAGCTTTTAGAGGCCGAACTGCATTCCTTAGCTGGTGGCCCCCTCTTCCATCTTCAAAGTGCATCACTCCAACCAACTTCTGGTTCCATAGTCACATCTCCTTTTTTTTTTTTTTCTTCATCTAACTCTATTGCCACCCTCTTGTTAGGACCCTTGTAACTACATTGGGTCCCACCAAATAATCCAGAATAATCTCCCCATCTCAAGATCCTTAATTTAATTACATCCACAAAATTCCTTTTGCCATATGAGGCAACATATTCACAGGTTCCTGGGATTAGGACAGGACATGGACATCTTGGGCATTATTCAGCCTACCATGGTCATATCAAACTCCAAATCTTCTTTCACTGAACAAAAAGCCAGCAACGAGAGGAAGTTCCCTACCATCAACACAAATGAAAGATGAGAATATAATCAATAACCTCTAATCACATGCATATTAAGCATAAATTACTACTAATTTCCTTTAGCATTAGAGATTCAAAAGGATCTGCAATTCCTCGCTAGGCACAAGGACAATTAGTGAGAGTAATCTTAGGGAACAAAGTAGTGTGGGCATCTCCTGCAATCAAGCAGTTTTCTTGAGTAAGGATTTGCTGACGTCTGCTGACAGAGGGCTGCCCAGATCAAAGGGGAGAACCAAGATTTGCAGAGAGAGGAGACCTGGCTTCACTTTGAGATAAATAATTGTGGTCAGAGATGAAAACTGAGTTGTAAGAAAGCAGCTGAAGCCTCTGGAGTACTTCAGAGGGACGCCTGTAAGAATTAGGAAGAGGTGGGTACTCCATAGCATACACTGTCACCAGTTTGATGATCCCATTATTTTTTTAGGGCCCATTAGCTTGAGCTTCAGAGTCCTCATCTGCAAAATAAAGGCACTGTCATTTAGGACAACTCTTGTGATTTTTTAAAATCTGATTTTACAAAATAGTGATAATTTCCTTACTAGCCCTCATAAAGTAACACTGGGGGCGGGGAATAAGGGAAAAGGAGAGAGAAGACTGAAGATGAGCGGGGAGGATTTTTCACTGGCTCTGAGTTAGATGGACGGGGTCTAAATCCTGACTCTACTCACCATATGACCTTGGGCAGGTTCTCTCATTTCTCTGGCTTCATATTTTTGGTCTGTAAAATAGAAATAATAGCATCACCTTTGCCATTGGGTTGTTGTGAGAATTAAACTGATCAATATATGTCAGGTATCTAAAACATCTGAGTTTGTTTCTGTAGAGGTACTCATTTTTTAATTTTCAAAGTTTAGCCATGTAGATATCCTATCAGTACAAGTTGATCACGTAGCTAAGACATCTCTTCAAATGTTAGTTATAGCATACAGTTCTCCATTTCAGAAACATTTCAAACCTACAAACAATTGACTATTGATGCTGGCACCAGGAAAATAGAAACTGATTTTGTCAGAATGACCTGTGAATTAATTTCTATTTTAGTTTTAAATCTTGTTTCTTGTTTGTTTTAGTGCGTGTGTGTGTGTGTGTGTGTGTGTGTGTGTGTGTGTGCGCGCGCGCGCGCGCCATGTTTTGTCTGCAGATGGCTTGGCTGTCTGTGAAAAACTAGGCTATTCAAAGACATTGCTGACTGTTTTTGATGAGGCCAAGGTCACAGTTTCAATTCCCATTTGGCCATTTAGCTTTGCTCTCTGCTCCCTTTATAGCGATAGGCTGCTCCCTCATCATCATATCCAAGCTATCTCTCATGGGATGAGAGGATGAGGGGAAAGGCAGATTATCAGAGCCAATCCACAACCACAGGTCAAGCTATGGTAAACCAGAGAGGCCTCCAGAAGTGTTAGCTATGATCACTCATCAGGTTGTCCTCTGTCTTCATGTGATCAAGTCTTAATTTTCCCTGAGGTGGGTCCCTGCAGAAATCTGTTTCAAGGTGTTTCTCTTAAGCAGTAGACTAGATGATTTCAGCATCCATCCTCTTTATTGCCAGAATAGACTCCTGGGACCCAATTAGTACCATTATTTTTTGTCTCCTGAAGATACTACATCTTTGGTTTCTTATGTTTTCAGCTCTTGAGTCTGTTGCCAAGAATCTGCTAATAACAGCTAACATTTATTGAGCACTTACTTACCCTATTTCAAAACCTTCTATATGAATTACCTCCTTGAATCCTCAAAATAGCTATGAGATAGAATATGATATTCCTTTTTTCCAGTGAGGACTGGGGTTGAGAACAGTTATATTTGTCCAGTCAGTGTTAGGATTCAAACACCTGCAGTCAGTCCCCTTCCAGATCCTGCGTTCTTTAGCTACTATTCTATGACAGTTCCTGGCAGACGTGACACTCTGGGCAGAAGAAATGACAACTGCAGATTTACGCTGCTCCGAATTGGTACCTAATTTGGGTGGAAGCCATTATATTATGTCACCCTTTTTGGAGCTATATCCAAGATGGCCACCTGGCAAACTGTGCTAATTGGACAGGCTCTTTCTGTGCCAGCAGTTAAATCTTATTTCCATCCATTGCCTGCATTTCTTCACTGAATCACATGCCACTGGGGTTAAGTAGGCTATTGCCTGGACCTCAGAAATATTTTGCTGTACAGAGATGCTTGGATATGCTAGTTCTTGGGACCAAATGAAGCCTGTATTGGAGGAAGCTTTTGAGCCAGATGTACTCTTTCCAAATGTCAGTATGTACTAACCCTTGTTTTTAGAAGTTACTTTCAAATGCTAAAAGAAAGCCCACAATGATATTCAAATGCTGTATTCTTACTGACCCTGACCCTTAAATGAAGATATAGTCCTCGTGGCTTAAGTAGCTGCATGGTATAACATCAGTACTTTCTTTTTTAAATGCAGTATTTCAGATCTTCCCATAGATTTTTAAATACCCAGCATATTTTTGTGCAAGACAATTCATGCTGGAGATCAACAAGTATTACCTTTAAAAAAACCAAAGAGTAACTTAAGACTTTTCAATGCTCATCATAAAAGTAAATGCAGAATGCCTACTGTCCCATCTCAAGAAAAAAAGTTATATATACCTTGATGCTCAAAACTGTTTAGCTGTATCTCTAAACCTCTAAATACTTATAGTGTTTACAAGTCGGGTGATATTTGGCACTGATTCCTTTCTAGTACTTAAATGGGTCTGACTGATCCCTCATCTTGAACTTTTCTAGATGCATTTCCCATCATCCACATCTTCTGAAGAATTGCTGGGGGTGGGGGGAGCCTGTTTGTTTTTAATCTACAGTGGTCAAATTTAATAAGCCCTCTTATTTTGGAATGAATATCTTTAGGCCTAGACCATTTGAGTAAAACCATTTTATTAAATAACTTTGAGTCATATCCTTCCTTATTCTAGTTTTCCCAATCTGCCAGCACATGTGGGTGGTACAGTCTGTGACACTGAATACAGATTGACCCTTCTTATAGATTGT